GTTCTTTACATTGTCTTCTAAATGCTACTCATCTTTAATGCTTTAGAGACTGCTGTATTCCAAGATCTGTGGCCATACAACAACATTGCTATAATATTGGTGTCAAAAAGATGGATTTTATTTCAGGAAAAGTTTGAAGTCATTAAAGGAGCTCTGCAATTTCCCAAAGGCAATTAAGCCTGTTCTCCTCATGAAATGACTCGTTACTTATGTGGGAATCTTTCCTGAATCAGCTGTCTATACAGTCAAACCACCAACTTACTAAGGACAGATTGAAATTAGTATGAAGCTAGAAGAAAGAAAAAATAAAACAGAAAAAGGTGAGGCACCAAATTTAAAACAAAACCAATATAACCTAACAAACAAGTTATTGATGACAAAAAAATAAGATATTGATGGAAGAAAATTTATAGACACTGATTACAATAATTTTATGCAGAAGTTTAACTGATATAATTTAACTGATTTGACTATAATGAGCAACCCCAAAGCAACTTAAATGCCTGTTGGCAAATACTGACTTGCTTGTCATTCAGAAAGATATGGCAGCCTAGGGCAATATAAGTTTATTATACTATAAACTCATTTATAAAATCTGACACAGAGAAGGATAATGGAAGATATCGAGTATTATTACATCATCAAATACAGAAATGCAGTGGAAGATAAATCAAGTTTAAAAAGAAGCTTGGAAGAGACCTCAAATAAGCAAAGTCAATTTAAGGGCATTTAAGCATGAAACCAAAAGGAAGACACCAAACAGAAGAAAGATAGAAAGGATTTACAAAGTTGAAAAAAAAACCTTTCCCATCTGTATAAATATTTGTGAAAATGATGTGCATATGCCCCAAGGGAAGAAGCAGACTTTCAAAAGTGATGCTCCATGGTAAGACACATATTTATCATCACAAATACATCAAATGAATAAAAGATATAGAGAATACAAGATCTGTTCTTACAGTCTATTTATTATAGCTTATTGACTATGTAATCCCTTGTCCCAAAGCCTGTTGGTATGAGACTTCCTCCTTATTGGTGGAGATGAATGCCTTGCCCTGCATAAGAGACAGGGCAAAGTTGGTGAGCAATAAGAGAGTTCTAGCTTTCCCCAGTCCCCTTGGGGGATTCATCATTTGGGTGCTCCTGGCTTCCAGCTTCAAGAGAGAAGGTGGAAGACACCAACCCCACTTCAGGTTGCCAAAGCAAAAGTCTGGGAAGACACAAGAAGAGAGGTAAGTTTCTATCATGTCCCTATTTCCAGCTTGCTATTCTGGAGACTTCATGGAATTTCCCTTTGGGTAAGATCTAGGACACTTTCTTGGTTGAGCTGAGTCATCTTGCTCCCAATAGGAGATCTCCTTCATTTTGTAAAGTCTAGTATATATTCTCCTATGTATAACTTCTCTGATTTCTATTTTGCTATTCACTATGTGCATTCTAGTAGAAATGGTGTTTGGTGAGAAAAGGGTCAAGCCTTGGAGGTTCCTCTTTCTCCTCAAAACAACAAAGTGACCATTAGTTAGATGGAAACTGATCACATTTCCTAGACAAACAATGTAGAAGAAGCAAACACATTGTGGCTTGGGGTGCTGGGGACCCCAAAATGTAAGGATACAGGGGAGTTTTGCCTGGAAAGAATTCAACCACTCAAGCCTTCTTTCAGTCCAGAGCAGTTTATTGTAATGCCAGTAGAAACAGGCAGAGTTCCCAGTGAATCTGCAATATTATAACAGCAGTATGGTGGGCAAGATTCCTAGCAAATTTGCAACTTGATGAATATTAGACTGATTCTTTTATACAGAAAAAGGGGAAAAGGGTCAGTGAAAAGAACTTGATGGGATTAAGAAGTGATAAATAGCCTGGGGTGGGCCAGGTATAGACAATGAACGGAGTTAAGTATTTGAAAAGCCACAGTGAAAGGGCAATTAAAAGGATTATGGAGTATCTAGGTGATTTGGGATAAACCAGATGCCTTAGACGAAATGCCAGGGACTAGGTTGTGTGGGAAAGTTTAGGGACATGGTCTTTTCCTTTTAGGGGTCTATGTCCCATCACCCCATCAGAGAGATCTACTTCTATCCTGGTACCCCCTCTCCCTAAGGAGAACAGAGTAGTCTCTAGCCCTAACCTCTTGGTTCCCCTCTTGGCAGAATGAAAGTCTCCATTGGAGAAGGGTTTGAGAATAGGCTAGAGTGGTCTATTCTGCCTCCCTTCAAGCCATACATAATGACAGCACCTTTGCCAAATGAGACTCCTCGATATACATGAGCTCACCACAAAACAGGGAGAGGTATGTTTACCTAAGGTGTTTGCCATTATCGTGGAAGAGATTTAGCACGGTCTAAATTTTGGAAGGTTTATATATATGTGGTGAGGTATCCTAAATGCTCTTGTTTGAGGTGACATTGTGTCATTTTGCTGGTTCAGTCAAGCCTCAGAACAAGGCAGCGCCCTCTTGAGATGATTCAACAAATAATCAACAAAGGAAAAACCAAGTGGTTGAAGAATATCTGTTATCCAGATTATAGCATTCATATAGGTGAATAATCCATAGGGTTTATTTAGGCTCAGACTTAAATAGGAAAAGTAAATGTCTAATGAAAGAAGAGATGAGTTATTTTTTGTATCCTCTAAGGTGCCTAGAATTGTGTTTTAAACAACATAATCTCCTTTAGGTCCACAATATAAAATAGTTCACATTTCTCGCAATCTCTTTATAATGACAGGAAATTCCATTTCCTGAGTAACAAAACTTAAGTTCTACTTATACCCTTTTAAAGATTTATCAAGGGGCAGCTAGGTGGCAGTGGATAGAGCATCGGCCCTGAAGTCAGGAGGGCCTGAGTTCAAATCCAGCCTCAGACCAAACACTTGACACTTACTAGCTGTGTGACCCTGAGCAAGTCACTTAACCCCAATTGCCTAACATAAAATAAAATAAAGATTTATCAGTATTATTCTTTGTTGTTCAACATGCAAGGTGTCCCAAAAGTCTTTGTGCAAGTTAAACTTGCAGAAGGACTTTTGGGATATCTTGCATAAGCCCAGGTCTACAAAACTGAAACAGAATTAGAGGTAAACAAAATACATGGTCATTACTGACCATTTATATTTATATCTCCAGCAGTATCACAGCGCTTAGCACATAGTAAGCACTTAATGAAAGCTTTTTCATTTAGTCAATCATTATAAATTACTGTGGCTCTTGAAAGTAACTCCACAAATTGCAGGACTAATTTTTTCTGTATTTCCATTATTCAGATCGTGAAGACAAATAAGCTGTCATGAATTGTTTTGAGTCTTTCCAAATCAACCAATTTTGCCATGATTATATAAAAATGAGGCAATGTGACATAACAGAGAGCCAGTCTTGAAGCCAAGAATATCTGTGTTCAATCCTGCCTCTGACAATCAATCAATCAATTAATAAACATTTATTAAGCACCTACTAAATTCTAGGTACTGAGTAAGCTCTAGGAATACAAAAAGAGGCAAAAGACAATCCTTGCCCTCCAGGCACTTACAATCTAATGGGGGAGACATGTAAATAAATATATATACAAAGCAAGCTATCTACAGGATAAATAGGAAATAATTAACAGAGGGGAGGCACTAGAATTAAGAGGGGTTAGGGAAAGTAAGAGATGGGATTTTATTTGGAATTTAAAAGGAGTGGTCAGAAAGGAGAAGGGAGGAGGGAGAGTATTCCAGGCATAGAGGACATCCAGAGAAAATGTCACACTGGCTGGCTTTGTGACCCTAGGCCAGGCTTCTAGCTTCTCAGTGTTCTTGGTAGCTCCCTAAGTTGTAGAGAAGTTGCCAAGCTAAGTCGGTAGAGGGATTTTCCTCACCTGGGAGATCCATATCCTGATGAAATCATAGGTACTATCCACATAAATAGAGCCCAAGATTCCATAAGAACAAAATCATCTCCTTTACTAAATATTTTGCTAAAATGTAGATTAAATTTATGTAGACTACAAAGAGTTCTTGACCTTTTTTCTGTCATGGACCCCTTTGACAATATGATAAAGCCAATAGATTCTTCTCAGAGTAACATTCTTATTACATATGCACAAAATATGGATAAAAATGAAATACACAGGATTACAAAGGAAAACAATTATACTGAAATATAGTTATCAAAAACATATTTTTTAATTCACAGTCTGGAACCTACCCATGGATCCCTTGGTTCTCCCTGCATCTCAGGTTAAGAATCTCAGTACAGCATTACACCAGCTGTTACCATGTCAGAGAAGGGAATAATACTGATCTGGCATGGCCTGTTCTGGATGGAATCACGCTGACTCTAGATGCTCCATAACCATTTCTTTAAGAATCTCTTCTAAAATCTTGCTGATAATCAAAGTTAAGCTTACCAGCCTAGAGTCTGGCAAACTCTATTCTCTTCCCCTTTTAAAAAACTGGGAGATTTTTCTTTCAAATTTGTAGCATCTCTCCTTCACTCCGTGATCCTTCAAATAGTACTGTTGTGGCTCAGCAGTCATACCTACCTGCTCTTTCCATTCAAGCCAGTTGCTTTTAAAAGTATATAATACAACTCTAAAAGTGACTACCACCTTTAAATTTTAAGAGATAAAAGAATTCCACTGAATGTGGGAATACCAACAATTACCTCTGGATGGATTGTTTTGTAATAATTACATACCACAGTGAATATTAACATGAAGAATATATTTAGTTTTATAAATGAAGATTAGTGAATTATTGAAGGATAATTAATTTCATACTGTTTCTTTCTCATAAACTTTGATATATTTAATTTTCTCTTTTTCCAACTGCTTCAAGTTCATTATGAAAGTAAGAATATTTTTGTGGAAGGTATAATTTATCAAATTTGGTTTTTGCCATGCATCATTGTGGAACTGTTTAGCCCAAAGAATTGAAAGCATATAGCTATTTTTAGCCTAAAAATGAAACACTACTTACTAGAAACAAGACTTGATGGGATTGTTGATTTGTGACAGCTGACTTACTTGAATGTAGTTGTCAACAACTCCCCAAGCAAAGCCACAAGGAAATGTCCCTTCTATTGGTAGATTTTCTGGTAAAGAAGGGAAGCCATTTCTTTCTATCAGCTTTTGGTAAAACAAGGCTGAAGACTTTGGCAGCAGCTTCTTATCATGACTTAGGAAATCTATGTAAAATAATCCACGTCTAATGCTGTATCCTCTGTGCCATTCAAAGCCATCCATGAGGGACCAAACAGTATAACCAATGACTTCGACTCCATCATATTTGATGGCTAGTAGGAGGAAATGAAAGGGAAGAGGGAGGGAAGAAAAGACAAAATAACCTTGAATTACTCATTTGTCTTATGAGCAATACATTATATGAAGTCCCCAGATCTCTAAAATATAAATGAACAAATGCAGCTCCTCATAATTGAGATATTTATTTACAATAACCAAACTGGCAATGTACATAATAGTGCTAATACTGAGTCCTTTGATTTTTAGAACTATCTCAAAGCTATTAGGGAAAAAAATTCAACTTCTTTTCTTAAATACTTAATGGTTCCTAGATAATTTTAAAAGTACAAATTAATAATTATATCTACATGGTCCACTAAAGTTAAAACTGAAAAATATATTCTTAGTTTAAAAGCGTCTTTCAGTAGCAGCACTCCAGCAATGTTTTTTTTAAATTCATTTAAATAGATCTTTAGTTCTATTATTTAAATACTCAGGTTAAGTATAATGTGCATGGCCTAGTAAATTAATTTTTTTAAAAATTTACACAAATTTGCAATTAAGCCTAGAGTTTAATATTAACCCCACAAAAAAGTTCCCCTGTGTTACCATATCTCACAAAACTAATTCTGATTTCCTAGCAGTGAAGCTTGAATTTCATTTCATTCAAAGATAGTGCTTTTAAAAGTACAGAAAAACTATTGTATAATGATTTTCCTATGACATTCTGATGTACTCTTTTCAAAATTATATATTTATGCCCTTTAACGTCATTTAATAGTACATAAATGCATAAACTAGGAACTACATATCTTGGGGGGGGAGGGAGAAGCATCATTCTTAATGTGATCTAGCAGAAAGAGTTCAGACCCCAACTCAGAATTTTACTCAGTGTATCTCAGTTTCCATCTTTACAGAATGAAACTAATATTGTTATTCATAAAATTTTTCAACTTTTCAAACTGGAAAGGTACTATATAAGTGCCAAACATTACTATTGCCATAACACTGGCTTATGTGACTCTGGGCAAGTCACTTAACCTCAGTTTCCTCATCTGTAAAAATGAGGATAATAATAGCACCTACCTGCCAAGGTTCTTATGAAGATAAAATGAGATAATAACTGTAAAGTGCTTTGTAAACTTTAAAATGCTATACAAGTTCTAGTTATTGTTATAATAATGTTGTTGTTGTTAATAAATATTAAAATATTGGAATTTAACAAGCTCAGGAATTTTTTTCTTAATGAGTTTTTGCAGGAAATTAATATGTTAGCAACACTCCTACCTTTTAAAGTTTCCATAATGAACTTTTTGAGGTAATACATATACTTGGCATCATCCCTCTTGGTGGTGCCTGAAACAAACCAGCCATTCTCCACAATGAAAATCTGAGGATGGTTATATTCAAGGTCTATCCAGGAAAGGAGCTGCCTCAGACTTGGTGACTCCAATTGACGAAACTTCATATGAGGGTCCAAGAGCTGAAAACTCAGGGTTGGTCCAAAGGAAAGTGCAAAAAAGTCAGCTGTTCCCTTGATGAAATTTTTCTCAGATTCAGTAAAATTTGGCAAAAGAGATGAAAGGTTTTCCTTCATGCTTTGAGGGTAGTCACCATCAATGAAAATCGGTTTAGCAAACCAGCCCAATACAAAGTCAAGAGATTTTTGACATTCTTTTAAGTCATGTTCAGTCATCCTTCGGGGACTGATCCAGTGGGAACTAAGTGCAATAGACACTTGTCCTCCTTGAGTTGAACGAAAAGATGTGTTGTAGAGATGCCAGACTTTAGCATGGGCCTAGAAAAGAAAGAAAAAAAGAACAATCAGTTTGCCTTTTGTTCTGACTTGAAACATGTTTCAGCAATGACGTCCACTGTTATTGGTTTCAGCACCCAACCCAGTTATCAACCATGCCATTGCAACAAAACACTCATTTTCAATGCCAGAGGTTTCTAATATCCTCCAGTGCTATGTTATCAGCCAGGGGAAAAATAAGGCTTTCTCATATATATGAAGGGAATTCAGTAAGTAAGGTAAAGCTAAGCAAATATTCAATCAATCAATTGATAAACATTTATTATCATCATCATTATTATTATTAGAGTGTGACTAGTTGGACTGGCCACATTGTTCCAATGCCAAACATACATTTGCCTAAAAGACTACAGAGAACTCACACAAGGCGAGTGCTCACACAGAGGTCAGAAGAATCGATACAAAGGCACTCTCAAGATCTCTCTGTAGAACTTTCAAATCGATTGTGAGACATGGGAGACACTGGCAAAGGACCACCCAGCATGCATGCTCGCATCAAAGAAGGCACTGGGCTGTATGAGTGAAGCAGAATTGCAGTAGCTCAAAAGAAACATAAAATGCACAATTTTAGAGATATCTCTACTCCAAAGAGTCATGTGGACTATTTGGGCCCAACCCATGGTAGAGCCTTCTGAGCTCGTATTGGTCCAATGCGCCACAGTCCAAAACATTGTACCTTGACCCCAACTTAGTGATGTCATTTTGGTCCTCTTCAAGAATGAATGATAATAACAATTAACTATGTATGTGCCAGATACTGTACCCAAGCACTGGACAGGCAAAAAGAGGCAAAAAATAGTCCCTGCCCTCAAGGAGCTTACAATCTAATGGGGGAGAACACATGCAAACAAATATATAAAAACAAGCTATATAAAGAACAAATTAGTGGATAGAGTATCAGTTCTGGAGTCAGGAAGACTCATATTCATGAGTTCAGATTTAGCCTCAGATACTTACTAGCTGTGTGACCCTGAGCAAGTCACCTAACCCCATTTGCCTCAGTTCCTCATCTGTAAAAATGAGCTGGAAAAGGAAACAGCAAACCACTTCAGTCTCTGCCAAGAAAACACTAAATGGGGTCATAAAGAGTCAGATATATATGTGGGTGTGGGTGTGTGTGTGTGTGTGTGTGTGTGTGTGTGTATATATATATATATATGTGTGTGTGTGTGTGTGTGTGTGTGTGTATGTATATATATATATATGTATGTATGTGCATATATATATACATATATATAAAGAGTCAGACAAAACTGAAAAATGACTGAACAACAATAACAAAAACAAAAATAAGGCACTGGAATTAAGAGGGGTTGGGAAAGGCTTCCTGAAGAAAGTGGGATTTTAGTTGGGAGCTAAAGGAAGTCAGGGAGGTCAGTAATCAGAGCTGAGGAGGTACAGAGTTTCAAGCATTGGGGGCAGCCAGAGAAAATGTTGGGAGACAAGATATGGAGTGTCTTGCTCATATAACAACCAGGAGGCCAGTATCACTGGATCAAAGAGTTATTTGTAGGGAAGTAAGGTGTAAGAAGATTGATAAAGTAGGAGGGGCTAGATTATGAAGGTCTTTGGATTCCAAATAGAACATTGTGTGTTTGATCCTGGAAGCAAAAGGATCCATCGTTTGACCCTTAACCCACACTCAGAACTCAAAGGGTAGCTCTGGCTTCCTGGAGACTAGCAAGGCCTTTTCAGGATTCTCCCCAGGAGTCAGGGTACCACAACACCTCAATGTAGCTGATAGGGAACAACAACCCTCTAGACACCCATCTCTTCCTTAGCAGCTATTGAAAACGATGGTTTGTTGGCATCAAGTTTCCTTTGTTACCATAAACTCTTATTAACTTTTTGATATCTCATTTTTGTGTATTTCCTGTCCTGTCCATTAAGATGCTGATGATATTGTCTCATTCCTTTCTGAATTAAGTTGCCCTCCACCTTTGAAACATTCTGACTTACTTTTGTAGTTTTCAAGCTTAAGCGCTCAGGTGAATTTTGTGTGACATTCTCCTTGAAGCTTCTATTCTTATTTTTCCCCTTTGATTTCTCACACTCATCAAATCCTGCCAATTTTCACACCACTCCCAGTGAAAGCTTTTCAGTTTTGTATGACAAATCTACTTTCTCTTTCCTAAATATGCTTCTCCTTGCAGCTCATTTATGTGTGGCTGTCCAAGGACAGCCTCATCCACATTATGAAGTCACCCACACATTTCAAAGCTATGAAGTCGTATTTGACTAACTTGTACTATAAGATTTTTGAGGCAGATACTTTGCCTATTGTGCTATATTCTATAAAATACCTTATATGCTTCAACAATCTACTACCCAACCAATCAGCATTTGCTGAGGACCAACTATTTCTTCCAAAACATATTTTATCTTCACACACCCATCTTTCAATGTGTGCTATGAAAGAAAACTTTTTCATTAAAATAATTGGGTCATTTGCTCACGTTCCAAAATTCAGCTGTCAGGTTACCATATCCCACCCACCCCTACCAATGACAGAAAAAAACTCCCAAGAAAATAAGAAAGGAGTAAGGTTTCCAGATTAGTATAGAAGGTTTATGGAAGAAACTCCCCACCCAAGACTCACCTTGACTATAGTCCAGTGATCTTTAAAGAAATGTTTGGGGGAAGAGGTATGGACACTTGTATCCCAAATATGATAAATGCCTCTTAGCAGAGCAAATGACTTGGAACAATTGTCACTTCACAGGCATATCAGGAAAAAACAGCCCTGTTTCTGAAAGTGCTCTCAGTGTCCCCAGATTTTCTGAACTTCATGGTGAAACTATTTTTCCATCTCTCTTTGATTTTGCAAATAGTCAAAGAGAGTTTCTCAGGAAGGGACCAACCTATAATTAAGAACTAACAAATGAATTGCAAAGCACTATGCAGTCCTCTTGATCTAATTCTAACTCAGGTGACTTCAAGTATACCCAGGGAAAAGGTCAGGCTTCAGAGAGTGTTACAAGACTGCCTAAAAACCAGATATTCAGACAGCCGTAGTAGTGTCAAACTTGACAAAGGTTTCCTAGATAACTGCATCAATATTTTGTGAACTACACATCACACAGCCATCATCTTGAACAGGATGGTCCTATACCAGCCCCAACATACCATTTTGGAGTCCATTTGACTAGAAAGTGATGTTAAGTGCTGAGGTTTAGGGGTGCTGGAACCCCAAAATAACAATACACAGGCCCTGCCTGAATGAATTCATCTCAAGCCTTCTTTCAGCCAAAGACAAGGTTTATTAGAACATTTATCAGAGGTAGGTGAGATTAAGAATCCACCATATTGGCCAAACTGTTAAGGAATCTAAGCATTTGTATCGCTAATGCAAGGGGGCCAGATTGAACCTGAGCCATTGGCTGGACTCTTAAGAAATCTGAGCACCTTAATGGAAAGACTGAGGAAGGAATCTAGGAATGGCTAAGTAGTCTGGGGTGACTGGGAATGCCAGGAACCTGGACCAAGTGGCCAAGGAAGACTAGGGTCTAGATAGGATCAAGGAGTGGAGGTCTAGAGTGGGGCCAGGTGCAAACAATGAAAGGCCAGTTGAGAGGATTATTGGGATGATGCCTCAGGCAAACCGCCAGAGACTTGACCATGTGGGAAAAGGAGAAAACTCAAACAAAGTTTGGGGGTAAGGAGAATGGGGGGGGGAGTGTTTCAGGGCCTATACCTTGTCATTAAGAATAACTATATTCCATTCAGTATATACTAACACACATTTAGATAGATGATAAACAGACGAATAATTTATACTTTAGCTAAATGCTAAGCACTGGAGATACAGCAAACAAAGCCCTTAAAGAGTTTACAATCCAATGCGGGAAGACATAAAGAGGTATAGAAAAGCAGAGTGGGAAGGGGAAAGAGGATACCTGCTTGAGATCTATCAAGGAAACCTAAGTAAAAGGTGGTGTCTTGGAGGATTACCCATCAGAAAAGCTCCTTAATGTACATTGAATTTAATTGTTTTCACAACCATCCTGTAGGTTGTGGAGGTCTTAGTTCAATATTTCAATGACTCTGTGATCCCAAAGTTGTTGCTATGGGCAACATCTGCCCGCATCCACCTATACCTCTTCATTGTGTGTAATTGCTGTCCAAGTCTTTCTGGACTTGATCTTGGACTGACTGATCAATCAGTCAAAGGGGGTCCACCCACCCAACAAACTTGGGGCCTTCCTCTAGATCTAACAAACTTGAGGCCTGCCTCTAGATCTAAGGCTCTTAACCTGAGGTCCATGAACCTGTTTCCTTTTTTTAAAAAATGTTTTCATAACTATATTTCAATTAGATTGGTTTCCTTTGTTATCTATGTGTAAAAACTGTTCTGAGAAACCTTCACCAAACTGCCAAAAGGGTCCATGATACATATACAGAAAAAAGGTTAAGACCTTCTGCTCTAGATCCCTTGATAGTCTGTGACGACTAGTGGATTACTATCATTGGTTATCTCTCACTCCAGACACAAGAGGTCCTCCTTTCCTGATCATACCTCTTACTTAGGACTGCACTTAGTAGTGGCTTTTAAGACAGTTGCCAGAAGGGGTTCATTATCAGGAAACACTCTGTCAACTGCCAGGTGATATGATGGAAAGAGTCCTGGACCTTTACTGAACCTGGTGGGTTCTAATCCTACCCTCTTAGTAGCGTTAGTTCATCATGGTCAAGCCACCTCTCAGACCATGAGTTTCTTCATCTGTAAAATGTAAATAACAATAATACCTGTGGCACATAGCCTTTAGGGTTGGAGTGAGGGTCAAATTAGATACTGTAAGCAGCTTGTAAAACTTGAGGGTCTATATTAATGAAAGATACCATATCAGAGCAGTTGTCATGACTCCAAATGTTTAAATGACTCCCATCCTTCTTGGGGCTTACTTCTTCCATAGAATTTTATAATACGTGAAATCTGCTCCCAAAATCTAGGGGGCTAAGCAGACCATTACTGATTTGCTTCT